TGGAGGTTTTCGTGCACTGCCAGGCTGCAAAAATTTCTTAATTGTGGGGATGTTACTTATCCTCCCTTTAAAAGCCTGAAAAAGAAGAAAAGGGGGGGAAAGTTTAGAAGGAAAAAAAATGATTTTTTTAGGTTTTTATTTTTTTTAAATGACATTGCTGAGTAAACATTTTCATCTGAATAACAGAAATACCATGTTTTGAAGGGTCCTTGAATTCTGCTACTTGATCTCAGCTGCAAATTGTAATAATCAAGTGAGGTTTATATGTCAACAGAGGCTTGCACAATAAAATTGGTTAAAAGATTTGCTTTGTGTGTATGTTTTTGAGTAAGTGTTGATACCCTGTGACTGCCTGGAGAAATATTTGCAGGGGTTTTTAAGCAATGTTTTCAGAAGTTGTTTGCGTTTGTCTGCTTCTTAAGGCTGAGGGACAAGGACTGGCCCAAGGTTACATAGCTGGCTTCGTACCTAAAGCAGGATAGAACCAGGGGTGGGATTCAGTGTTTTTAACAACCGGTTCTGTGGGCATGGCTTAGTTGGTGGCTGTGGCTTGGTGCTCATGTGACTGGGTGGGCCTGGCCAACTTGACATCACTCATGTCAAGGGGCGTTTCTTCAAAGTGCTGATTGTCCAGGGAAGTATTTCCTCCCAACTGCAGTGTAAAAATCTTAAAACACCCCTTCCCCTTTAAGAAAGTCAAGTCCCAGAAGCTCCAGAGACAGGAAGTCTTGGCATACTGGCAAGAATGTAATAAGGGTGGAAAAAAACAAAAGGAGATTGTTTCTAACTATCGGTTCTCCAAACTGCTTAGAAAGTTAACAAGAGGTTCTATAGAACCGGACAGAACCAGTAGAATCCCACCCCTGGATAGAACTCATGATCTCCTGAGTTTTACCCTGATGCTCTAAGTCTAAGCACTGCACCCACCTGGCTCTCAGGTTTGCTTTGAATGCCAATAGCTGTAGTCAGCAATTCAAAACTGATGGAAGATGAAAATTATAATTCATAACACCTAGAGATCCTAGGTACATTTATCTAGTACCTAGGCACATTTGCCTAATAATAGCCTTTTGCATATAATTTAGTATATCCATACTGCCTGTACCTATTAAAGTTGAAGATACACATTAAAATATTACTAATAATATAAAGAACTAGAATTCTATGTATGCTGAAATGTGAGCATCCCAAGCAGTGGTGTGTTTCAAAATAGTTTACCACTGATTTGGTGGGTGTGGCTTGGTGGGCATGCTTTGTTTCCACTGATCTTCGGCACTACCAGTACGCCACAACCAGGCCAAACCGGTAGAATAGCACCACTGATCCCAAGTGATTATGTATATACATTAATGTTTTTGTGTTCATAAGATATGTGCAGACATTATTCTTATTTTAAGCCAGGTTCTACAATTGACAGAAGCAGACCAGAGACTACAGTGATTTTAACTGAAATGTAAATTTAGTTAACATCGTTATACCTCATTCACATAACCATTATTATCGTCTGTCACAAACATCTGAGGATGCTTATAGGGAAGGTTATCTAAAGCTTTGTGGATGCTTTAAACTATGGTATACAGGTTTTATACTTATCATGTAAGTGAAGTAGTAGAGACTTATGCATATTACATGCAAATGTTTCAGCTGAACCATTAGGACAGCAATTTACTAATTTGTTGTAGCTGCTGTGACTGAGAAAAAAAAGACCCAGATTCAAATGAAAGTCTAATACCAGAATAATTGCACATTATCTTTCGTAATCAGCCTGATGTATTTCAACATACCAAGGGGAATTAACTATGGGGTATAATTATTACTGGCAGATTGATTTTGAATGACCACAGCTTATTATGCATGGTATAGCAAACTGCCTTGCACTTCTGTCATCACCATTTGGAGAACTTGGATCCAGGATCTGACTGGATTTTGATTCAGGGTTCTGCTGCGTGTTTCTATTGTTTGCCAAAGAGAAGTTGCTTACCTTTAATAAAGGAAATGTTGAGAGAATGTCTGCCTTCAACTCTTCCACCATCAAAATGCTTTCAAGGAGTTGAACATCTGCTCTGCTAAGCTGTTTTCCAACAAGGAAGTCTTGTCCATGATCTTTTAGCACCTTCAGAGCATAATACGTGTTAAAGGCTTATTGTATTCTAGATAAATATTCAGAATTGAAAAGAACTATTTGAAGATCCTGCAAGTTACCCAACTAGAGAAGGTTCCATCCTTTCACGGGGAACTGATTTTTTTTACTTTAATGTTAACTTACGAAGTGAGCTTTAATTTCAAGAGACACATCACAAGGGTTTCTTTAGGAAAACTAAAATGCAATCCTATGCAAAGAGAATGAGTAGAATTACCTCACTTGCCCACTTTTCAGTTTTGTCAAATACGCAACGAGGTGAAATTTTTCATTTGTCCTTGTCCTCTTAGCTTAGAGAGACTCTATTATTCTACTAGTATTCTACTTAGAGAGATTCTACCATTTTTTTCTGGCTTCCAGGAACTCAAATGTTTATATATATTTTCCCTGTTGTTTGAGAAGCCATTTGAGTAACCACTTTTTGATAAGGATTTCCCATGTAGCACATGGAAGCGATATGAGTAGTGGTACAGGGGCCCAGGGGTGGAGCTCTCGCCTCACAATCAGGAGGCTGTGAGTTCAATCCTAGGTAAAGGCAAATATTTCTCTCTCAGGGCCTGTTGAAAATATATCTTCTGTATATAACTCTGCATTGGTGATAGGAAGGGCATCCGGCCAGTAAACGCTCACCAACATTCAGTTGCCCGACTCTATACCCCACAAGGGATTATGGGGTCGTTAAAAGGAGGTGACATGGAAGTGATATGACATAGGCAACTGGACATGTGACATACAGTATTTCAATAGTGAACACAATTATGTTTTGGGACAATGCGAGATTTTGTATTTCCTGCTCCAACCATTATTGTAAACCTTCCCGATCAAGAGAAAGGTATCTTTCAATAGGTTGAATAGTATTCATTACTATCCTGACCAAACGTATCACACGCCCTGTCTACCAGGCAGTTAAACACGTATAATTGTAAATTAAAACCCAATATTGACCACATGCTATCTTTCATAATATTCAAAAGCTGTTGCTGAGAGCAGTGTCTTTTCCACCTGATGGTAAGGTCAGATAAACTCCTATTCTGAACAAACATTTCTGCCAGGCCTTCAGAGGAAAGTATTGACTGAAGATATGAACTTGGCAGAATGTACTCTCACTGGGGGAAGTTCCCAGCATTTTTAATTGGTCTACACCAACTTGAAGAAGAAAATTTAGGGTTTGGTTGTCGCTATTATTTGTTGTGCGCCATTTCTGAAATCACAACGTCCATCACCTTAGCTTCCATTTCCTCCCCTACCTTTTCATAGACTGGGAAATATCTGGTGGAGACTTTTTCCAGGATTGCCTGTAACTCTTTCTCCTTGGTGTCAGCTGGCTTGAACGGAAGCATCATAATTCCCTCGTTGAGATCTACAGTACCTTCACAATACATGTCAATCCTGATAATGAAAAAAAGATCCCTGTGAGTCTAGACAGCTGTGAATGCAGAGCTTCCCCCATTGAATTCCAGATGCAGAGTTGTTGGAATGACTCGGTTCAGTCTTCCAATACAAGAGTTCCTCCTTTCAATTATGCAACCATCAATTAAAAGCATCAACAGAACTTTGTATTTCAGTTTCAAGTAATTGTCACACTTCACATGTTTTGTATCTCCTGCATTGTACTGACAATAATATACTGTATGACGTTTAGTCAATCCTTAATAGGATGGATGTAGCTTAAAATCAGTCATGGTAGTCCTTGACTTGCTACCATAATTGACTAAAATTTCTGTTGCTAAGCAACACTGTTGTTAAGTGAATTTTACTCCATTTTGCTCTTCTTGCCAAGTGAATCACTGCAATTGTTAAGTGAGTAACAAGGTTCTTTAGTGAATCTGGCTCCCCCATTGATGTTGCTTCTCAGAAGGGCGCAAAAAAATGATCACATGACCCTGGGACACTGCAACCATCATCAATAAGGGCCCATTGCCAGGTGCCTAAATTTTGATCATGTGACCGTGGGGATTCTGCACCAGTCATCAGTGTGAAAAAACAATGCTAAGTCCTTTTTTTTTCGTGCCGTAACTTCAAACATCACTAAACTGTTGTAAATCAAGGATTACCTGTGTCTGAAGCGTATTTGCAACGTGCTTCTGTTTATACTGAATTTTCCAGGTGAAACTTCCTTTCCTGTAAGTTTTGATGTTCCTTTAGCTAGTGTTTTATTCCTGCTACTCCTTTCCAGACAAAGAAAGGGGGGGGTGTTCTAGGATACCCATTTAGCACCATAGGAGTGGTACCCAACTATACTCCTTGGCAGAGAAAGATTTGGATGCTATTTAGCCCAGAAGATCTTCAAAAGCCATCTTTTCAGTGAAGAAGAACTCGAGGGAGGGAGAGGGGAAACAGCTGTTTTAGAAGCAAATAAATACATAAAACTTAGGAAAGCAGCACAGACCTCATTTACCAGGCTTAAATAGCACCAAGGAATGCCCTGACTTTTAATGATCTCATTTAAATGAACTGCCTTTTGCAGAAGGCTTCTGTCCTACTTGGAAGTCACTGAGAACCAAAATTTGCTGACTCATGCTATGTCAGCCGAACACACGCCAGCTCTCATGGTTTGCCAAGAACTGCCTGTTCCTCCTCATATGATATATAGGAAATAGTTATAAAATGTTACATTACAGGGCTCTCTCCTTCAGGTCCTTCCCATAGAGGTTGTATTTTCCTGCAATGTAATTGAGAATGGCTCGTGTTTGCACCAGCTTCATCCCATCAATTTCCACCATGGGCACTTGTTGGAAAAGCAGCCATCCATCTGGTAAATGAAAAGGACACATTAATGGAAGGGTTCTCCCCAATTATTAGCACGGCAGGTGAGTAGAGATGCATTTGATAGGGCAACAGTGGGGAACAATGGCCCTTTTATGACTTTTCGACTTCCAACTCCCAGAATTCCATGCCGGCTCAGTTCATAGGTCATAAAGAGGCCATTGTTCCCCACCTCTGTTAGGGTATGCTAGAAATTTCAATTCTTCCTCTTTACTTCAGAGGAGAAGTCACTTGCTTAATATTTAGATCAAAAGTCTAATGAGAGAATTCTGCTGAATGTTGAACACAAACACACACAAACACAGTAATGTTATGCTCACCGTTTTTTAACTTTTCAAGAGCTGCTTTTGAGTCAATGTATTGTTCTTCAAACTAGTAAATGGTAAAGACAAAAGGTTTCCATTACTTCCAAAAAGAATTGCAAGTGGCAAATTCATTCCAAGGTCCATCATCCCGGGCAGAGATTTGTAAAAAAAAAGGGAACTCCCTACTCCAAGAGGGAGCTGGAGAGCTGGATTCACTGACTTTTAGGGGGGGAAATGTGGATTTCCCTAATGTCATCATCATGGTGTTTGTAGCTCATTTGCCCAGTACAAATTTGTATCTGAGAACTAAAATAGTGAAATAGGTTATGTCTGAATTAATCAGCTGTTGTTTCTCCATCACTTTAAATCCTTATTTTTAAGAGTGGACGATGATGTAAAAAAAATATGCCACAAGTGGCTCTTCTGAGAGTACAAAATGCAAAACTGTATTATTTGCCTTGTCACATATTTTGTTTTTGAGTGGGCAACATACACAATTCTCCATTTTAAATCTAGATTCTTATCTTATTTTCCTCACATTAAATCATATATCTGCTGCCATGTCTTTTGCCTATATTTTAATAATAATAACTTAATGGTAGGACAGCCCCTAATGTAGGGGTCTTACAAATGTAGATCTGTTGGTTGAAAATGATAACATTTATCTTCAAAATTGAGAGAAACAGATTGTCCACATTGGCGGCAATAGATTCCGAAACAAACCTTATTAAGTAAGAGAAGTTTGGAGGACTCACCTCAATCCCAGCTGCACTCAACATCCACCTTATGGTTTCCATTCTCCCTCTTCCATTGGAGTAGTGAAGCTTCGGTTTTCCAGCCATAGTCTTACTAAACTGTTATCCTGTGTAGTGGAAGGTGGTCTGGATTCCCAGGAGCAACAGAATGTATTCCAGAGGAATAGGAAACAATGAAGTTTAGATTGAGTGGCTTGGAGAAAGAGAGTTAAGACGCCTCCTAGCAATTCTCAGAGAATACCTTTAATGATGCAAGTAGTTGCTTTATTTTGGCAAGATTTTTGTCTATAGGTGAGGAACAATAAAGGAAACTGCTTAGAAATAACTCCATTTGTCTTTATTGGTTTTGGGAGCCTGACACCTACTACATTAAATATATAAATGTAAATCTTATGAAGATACAGATATCCTCAGGCAGAGGAATCTGCATTTTGAAATGTTCCTTTATACATTGGTTTTAGCAAGAAACAATTTTATAGCAGCATCTTCTTCTAAAAAAAATCCATATTATGTTGAGCAGGTGTATGTACAACCTGCCCCTGTAGGCACAAAACTATAGCCATTCCTTCCCCTCTCCCTTTTTTAGGGATATTTTCACTATTGTAAAACTTTGTCACATGCAACAATTTAAGACCAATCCAGAATAGCTACTTGAAATGCATTCTCACCCCCGCCACCTCTACTCCACTGGGAGTAACTGGTTATCTTTTGGACTAGTGATAAGTAAATATTAGCATTATCCAATATATGTTTCCTCCAAAGGAAATTCTACTGAGTTCAATGTCCATTACCTCATAGATAAGCAGGCATAGGATTGCAACATCTATTTATTAGTGCAATTCTATTAAAATAATTAATGGAGTAACACTTTGCTCACCTAACCTGAAAGACATGTTGGTTTCAAAACCTCATAAACCCATGACAGTTTTTATTTCTGACAAATCCCTTCTTTAGCTCCACATAGTTCTGCTCTTTCCCCCAATACTTCCTTTGGACCTTCAGAGAAGAATCTTGCAATCATTTCCATCCTGGTTTATTAATCAACACTAAACAACATTTTGACAATCAATAAGCAAGAAGATGACAAACTTTAAGATTACAGGATTGCCCCTACCACCACTTTCTTCTCAAGTTTCTACGTTTGTCTACTGACCTGCTGAAAAGCCTCAGTAAGTGCAGGTTCTTCTTAGGGCAAGTGAAGTATTCCACA